CCTCTAGTAACGGGGAGAGCAGCCCCTCGACCACCTGGTACATCATCCACACGCGTTCTCACCATCTGTGAGAGATCAATAGGAATACACTTAGTATAATATCAACTTCACGATAGGAGATGAAGAAAGAGAAGTTTCCTAACACCCTATAGCCTTTCAAAGATTAGCACGGACATCTCCGCACCGATCCGCAAGACTCTACTAGGCCTGCTCATGACTCGTGAGACCTATGTGAACCTAAAGCTCTGATACCAAGCTGTCACGACCCAAATCCATAATAGGTTGAGACTGCACCTAACACCGCCGTTAGGCTATCCCACAAGTGTATTTACAATTGATTGACCCATTTTTAATAATTTAATATGAAAGTCTTTCCTTTTTAGAGAACACTTTAAACTAGAGTTCGTGAAACTGTGACAAATAATTTTAATCAAAATACCAACATAATAAGTGCATACTCTGCGATGGTAGAAATAACGAGTATAGCAGTACATAAATGCCACAAATCCCCAAACCCCAGCGTCACAAGTACATGTGCAATCTACAGAATATACAAAACTACTAAAAATTATGTCCGAAAGTAATAGACATGAATAGTAAATATGGTGGAAGGAGACTCCGGTGCTGCGAAGGTAGCAAGGCAAGCAGCTCACCGCTAAGTCTCCGTAGATGATCGGCTATGTGCCCGCGTGACCATTGGTAGAACCTGTCTCAGTACCTGCACATCAATGCAAAAGTGTAGCGTGAGTATGGAGAACAACGTGTACCCAGTAATTATCTAGTCTAACCTTGAAGAAGTATTGACGAGGGGTCGACTTGACACTTACTAAAGGCCAATAATAATAATAATAAAAGTGCATAAAATAGACATGGTGAGCATACAATAGGTATCAATGAGACAAACAAAAACAACTACAATAAATACAACATGAGTCCGTAACACATCACCAACATCTTATAACTAGCCGTGAAGGCCCTAACTCAATTAAGCACGAAGTTGCCGAGGCGAACGATCTGATCCCATAAGAATAGTGGTAGTCAGTACTGCCAAGGCAAATGGCCCAATCCCATAAGAATAATGTTACCATCGTACTGTCGAGGAGAACAGCCTGATCCCATAAGAGTGGTGTTATCATACTACAGAGGTGAATGACTCGATCCCATAAGAGTGGTATCATACTGCCGAGGCGAACAGCCCGATCCCATAAGAGTGGTGTTATCATACTACCGAGGCAAATGACCCGATCCCATAAGAGTGGTGTTATCATACTACCGAGGCAAATGACCCGATCCCATAAGAGTGGTGCTATCATACTGTTGAGGCGAACGTCCCGATCCCATAAGAGTGGTGTTATCATACCGCCTAGACGAACGACCCGATTCCATTAGAGTAGAGAAGTTTACGTCGCTCGTGGAAGTACTTACAAGGAGAGAAGACATGAAGTTTTCATAGTTAATAAGTATTCCTCAATTTTCACAAAATAAGAAAGCTAAGTCGATAATTGCAACTTTAAATCCCTAGTTTCAGCTCTATTCAAGACAATTAATACGCATGATAAAAACAACAGTACAATTAAAAGCATGATGTGAATCTAAGTCTACCCGGTCATATCATGGAATATAGCTATGCACGGATTTTCGTCACCTCGTGCGTACGTAGCTCCCCACACAAGTAATACACAACAAAGATACACCGAAGGGGGATGAGTTCCCTCTTACAAGGTTAGGCAAGAGACTTACCTTATTCTCCAGTTAACTTTAGGTCCACTAGTCCGCTCTAAAAGACCCAAGTACATGCATAACAATCCAAAAGTATTCAAATGTTATATAATTTAATCAATATATACTCAATAGTTCATAATTTAGCTTCTAGAGTCATAACCTAACCTAAATTGGAAGATTCTTAAAATTTTCCCCCGGGCCCACGTGCCCGAATTCCAGAAATTTTTAAAGATAAATATTACCCATATCCTCACGAACTCAAATATATAATTTTTATTTGATTCTATAATCAATTTCGTGGTCAAATCCCATTTTTATCAAAACCCTAGGTTCTTCACAAATCCCATAATTTTTCATAATTTTTCCATGTTTAAGCAACCTAAAATCCGCATAATTAACTTGAAAATGGGTGAAAGTTACTTACCTTACAATATTGATGAGAATACCCCTCAAATGTGCTCTCAAAATAGCCCAAGACCAAATAAAAATGTGAGGAAAAATGGCCTAAGTCTCGGATTAAAAGGCCTCACTGCCCAGCGATTTTCGCTTGTGCGGACCTTGGGTCGCACCTGCGATGCCGCACCTACGGAAAATCCATCGCAGGTGCGGTCCTCACCAAGGTTGTCCAAGTACGCTTTTCCGGAGAAGCATGCACACCTGCGCATCCGCTTCTGCGAAGCCGGTCCGCATCTTCACACTTGCGCCTGTGGAGAAATGCCCTCTCCTGCGACCCCAAGCCTCCTTGGCCTAGCCCGCACCTACGAGCACCTTCCTCGCACCTGCTAGCTCGTAGGTGCAGTAAACCCTCCACTTCTGCGACCACTGGCCAGCCTGCTCCAGGCCATTTCTGTGATCGATGAGCTGCTTCTGTGAGGTCGCACCTACGAATGCACCAGAACTGAAGCACCAGCAGTTCCCCCATGCCTAATTCTGAGTCCGATTCCAATCTATTTGCATCTGGTGCCCACGGGACCCCGTCCAATTATACTCACACATCCAACAACATAATACGGACCCGCTCATGCAATTAAAACACCAAAATATCATCTAGAAATACGAATCGGATACCAAAACACATGAATTCGACATGAAACTCAAAAACTTCTAAAAATACTTCCGCGTGTCCGATTCCTATCAAATCAACTCGGAATGATGCCAAATTTTGCGTGCAAGTCATAAATTACCATAAAGAACTATTCCCAGGCTCGAAGTCCCAAATAGATCTTCATAACACCAAAGTATACACCAAACCAAACTTAAAGAACTTGAAAAACCTTCAATGCGCCAACTTTCAATATTAAGCGTCCAAACGCTCCCGGGTCATCCGAAACCTGATCCGAATATACACTCAAGTCCAAAATTATCATACGAACCTATTGGGACAGTCAAATCCTGGTTCCAAGGTCATTTACATAAAATGTTGAATCAAGTCAGACTTAACTATTATAGGCTACTATTAAGAAACTAAGTGTTCCGATTTCAACCCGAACCCTTCCAAACCTAAACCAACTATCCCCGCAGGTCATAGAATAGTAAAAGTACATATAGTGAGTCTTAATTAAGGTAACATAAATCTAGAAAGCAAAACGACCGGTCAGGTCGTTACAGAGACATGTACTACCAGTGGTCACGCTGGCGCGCAACCGCACTTCTACGAAGACTCAGTGGTGAGCTGCCTGCCTTGCTTCGATCTGCAGCACCGGAGTCTCCCCCTACCTTGTTTATTAATTTAGTGTATTATCATTCAGACAATGGTTGTATTAGTTGTGTATATTCTCTAGATTGCTCTTGCACTTATGGCACCGGGTTTTGGGGTTTTTTAGCATATATGTACTGTTGTACTAATTATTACTATCACTATGGCTTATGTATTTTCTCCCATTTGATATTTTTGAGAAAAGAGTATATACGTTGCATGAGATCATACTTATTTCGGTCTTTTAAAAAAAAAAAAACTTCTATTTTAAAAGTTAAAAAGGGATAACTAAATTGGAGGTTCACTTATGGGCTTGCTTAACAGAGGCATTAGGCAACATTGCGACATATTACAGGTTTTGGATCGTGACAACAGTAGTCGTAAAATAAAAACTAATATTTTTGTAATTTTATAAATATTATCCGACTACAGTTTCGATTCGACTATAGTTGTCGTAAAATTTGGCAGAAAATTCCGCGAATTAATGTTTTCAACTACTGTGGTCGGACACGAAGTAAAAAAATGGTAGAAATTTATGTGTACAGTAGTATGAAATTTTTTTCCGACGTACCATTTTCCGACTATACCAAAACAGTCAGAATGTAGTTGAAAATTTTGGCTTCGCGATTACTTTTTGGCTCTGTTAGTAGTCGAAAAACTGTGATTTTATGGCACCGTCGGATATGTTTAAGGTACTAAATAATCTAAACAAATATATTCAACGAACTGAGATATACACAATTAATTAAAAACAAAACATATGTTATGACTATGTATTGTTTGATGTAATGAAAACAAAAGGTCGTTATTATTTGGAAGTGAAAGCTGGCATATTATAAAAATCATGCGGGCCACTAACTAGATGATACTAAACAGTCTGTGATAGCAATTCTATAATATATATTTCCATTGTGTATATATATCAAATAAGATCATGTGGTAGTTATGTTGCAAACTACTCATCCAATATAAATGTTTGAATAATTATCATCTAAATGGATATATAGTTTAGAAATAATTATCAAGTTATCTTAATTGCACAAAAACATATATGTAGAAAGGTTCATATTCACACAGCTGTGTAAGGCCTTTTGGTGAAACCGTACATGCTTGACCTATTTTAACGTGATTCGGTCAAAGTGACCTACGTCCACACACGAAGAAAAACAATTTCACTATACCAATAAGAATACAAAATTAAAATAAATACACTAATTAGTCCCAAATATCCCAAGAGAATAAGGTTACAAGATCACTCCAAAGAAAGGATTTACACAAGGGTTTTCCAACACTCAGTCTCTTACAAAATACTTTATAATGAAAGAAAGGAAAGACAAGAGACGTTTGTCTCAAACTTTGGTGTATTTTATATGGACATTTGCCAGCCAATTTATAAGAAAATTAGATGATCATGTATGGAATATGATTGGCCAGCAAGTCCTTTAATGAATGGACATAAAATGTCCAACAAAGTGGCCAATAAAAGACCACAAAAGAGCCAACAAGGCACATAGTCTATGGCCAAAAGTAGGCCACATATATTACAATACTCATAATATATTTGTATATGCAATGCATTTTTCCTTCTCAATTTACTAAGTGGGAGAGACGAAGAGAAAGAAGAAATGGAAAAAAGGAGCATAGTTCTATTTCTTTGCTTCATTGTTATGGCCATGCCAATGGTTCAAGACGTTGACTTAGGACCCAAAGCTGTTGAAAAATGGTTCACAAAACTTCCCCATGCAGAGCAAAAGGTAACCAAATTTCATTTTTATTTCCACGACATACTCAGAGGTAAGAATCCAACTGCAGTTCAAATAGCCCAGTCCAATACAACTGCAAAATCCCTAACTTTGTTTCGGTTTGTTGCAATGATGGATGACCCATTAACAGTTGGGCCAGAGCCCAATTCAACAATAGTAGGCCGAGCCCAAGGAATATATGGTTCAGTTGATAAAAAAGAAGGTGCCCTTCTCATGAACCTCAACTTTGTGTTCACCAGTGGTAAGCTCAATGGTAGCATATTGAGTGTACTTGGCCGGAATCATGTGTTTAATGAGTATCGTGAAATGCCGATCGTCAGTAATTCTGGAGTTTTTCGGTTGGCTTAGCGAATTGACCCTGCAAAGACTGTTTGGTTCAACATAACCAATGGGGATGCTATTGTTGAGTATAATGTTATAGTCTTACATTACTCACATATAGTCGTACATTACTCACAATAATTTAAAGTTTTACATGTTGATTTTCTGTCAAGACGCAAAATCCAACTAGTCGTGATGATACCTAATCCAACCTGCTAGGTAAGACAATTAGCAATAATAATCCAATTCATTGAGATTTACTGAGAAATGTAATGATAATATAACTGCACTTCTATACAAAGAATTCCCAAAGACTGATAGTACAAATCATGAGTTTTAAGATTTAGAGTTTACAAAGCTGGTATGAAATAAATACATCACCTGTTTGAAATATACATGAACAACTTAATAATTCTAAAGCTACCAAGAACAAAAGGCAGCAATGACCGGAACATATGTACGTCTTAAATGCCTGCTCGCGCTATACACAACAACATTAGCATCGAAAATCTGTACGCAAGGTACATAAGTGTAGTATGAGTACAACCGATCTTATGTACTCAATAAGTAACAAACCTAACATTAGGTTGAAAGTAGTGACGAGCTGGGACAAAGGTCGGAGTCCAACATCAATAGCCAACAACAGTTCATAACAATATAATAAGAGTGATAAAAGAAATAACTCAGAGATATAATGCTCAGCTCATTTACAGTTACGGAAAATAGTCATACTTTTCAGATATAACAGTAACACCCAAATCCTTCACCAAAATCATAAAAATATAAGTAAGTCAGAAACCTTTGATTTTCCCAAAAACTTTCAACAACAAATAACATGATTTAATTTCAGATAGCATGAGAAAAGTATATCTCTATGCCTACATATCAATTTGCATGTGAAGTCATAAATGTCACAAAACCGTGAAACATGGAGAGATGCATCTCTATGCCTGCTTGTCAAGTATACATGTCAGATGCAATATGTCACAGTGATAAACTCATGTACTCATACTCTCAGAGTACTCAATATCACAGTTTCACACTCCCATTCATAACGCTCAATCACTCAGTCACTCAGCACTGAACATGGCAGATCCAACCCAGGGCAGATCCAACCCAAATGAATCAATAGCAACTGCGCTCACTGTGGGTGTGCAGACTCTGGAGGGGAAGATCCAGCCCAAGCGCTATAATAAGCCAATCATGGCATGAATCAATAAAGCTTGCTGCAGCGTGCAGTCTGATCCCATCATGAATCAAAAATACCTGCTGCGGCGTGTAACTTTATCCCATCATGAATCAATAATACATGTTGCGGCGTGTAGCCCAATCCCATCATGAATCAATAATACATGTTGCGGCATGTAGCCCGATCCCATCAATATCACTCACAATCTGGTTCTCAGGCCTCAACTCAGTCATCAATCTCTCCAGTCTCTCGGTCTCACAATGTCATGAAAATCATCCCAAAAATGATGATATGATGTATCAATAAATGAAAACAGAGACTGAGATATGATATGCAAATGAATCAGTATGATTGAGTATGTAATTGCAATGTAAGAAAATGACTCAATAACAGAAATGACCTTAGTGGGTCTAAACAAGATAAGCATATAGCCTAGACATGGTTTCTAATATGGATCACAGTTCAATTACTCTAGCACATAGAAATTTTATGATTAGAAACAAGATTAGGTCACTACAGAGTACCACATAATAAATCTAGTCATGATTCACATGGTGCACACCCACACGCCTGTCACCTAGCATGCTTGTCATCTCAACACCAACACATAACACATACATTCAGGGGTTCATACCCTCAACACCAAGTTTATAAGTGTTACTTAACTTGAATAAGCCAAATCCAATATCGAGCAAGCCAAACGATGCTCCAAAAATGACATCCCGCGCGTACTGACCTCCGAGAGGCTCGAAACTAGCCAAAAGCAACTCAAATACATCAAATAATGCATAAGGAAACAACCCAATTGATAAAGGTTGAATCTTTAATCAAAAACTTCAAAGTCAACAAAAATTTCAAACCCGGGCCCGCACCTTGGAACCCTATAAAACTCATAAAATCCGACAACCCATTCAAATATGAATCCAATCATACTAGTTTCACTCAAATCCAACTCCGAATTGACGTTCAAAACTAAAAAATTTACTATATGAAATGTTAGACAAAACCCCCCAAATTTCTCTTTTGAATTCATCAACCAAATGCCAAAAATGAGAATAGATTCATGAAATAAAATCCAAACTGAGTAGAGAACACTTACTCCACTCCATATGATGAAAATCGCTTCAAATATCGTCTCAATCCGAGCTCCAGAGCTCCAAATATGTAAATATGGCTGAAACCCCCAAAATTAGAGTGCTTATAATCACTAGGCAAATCAATGAATTGCGATCGTGGAAATACCATCGCGATCGCGAATAAGAAAAGGCACTGCTCCTGAATAATTACACTATGCGATCGTAGCAACAGACTCGCGAAAGCGATACACAAGACTGACAGAACTATGCGTTCGCGGAAACAACCTCGCAAACGCAAAGAGATAACCTGTATTCTGCCCAGCTCAGTCCCAAACACTACACGAACGAGATGAAGACCATCCCAACTCTACGCAAATACGGCCATCCAATCGCGACCGTGATGAAGATAATGCCCAGCTCCAGATTTCATCTACACGATAGAATACTAATCTTCTTGATCGCGAAGGATAGTCGAGGCAGCAGAAACCAACAGCAACCAACAATGAAAACATGAAGAAACATGTAACGACCCAACCGGTCGTTTTGCCTTCTAGAACCCCGCCCCCCTAAATAAGACTCCTCGTATGTGATTTTACTATTTTATGACTTGAGGTGATGGTTAGTTCCGGAATTTGAAGGGTTCGGGTTGAAAACGGAACACTTAGTTCCTTAGTTTGGCTTTATAAAGGATACGTTTGACTCCGATCAACATTTTGAGTAAACGACCCCAGAATTGGGATTTGACGGTTCCAATAGGTTCATATGATGATTTTGTACTCGGCGTATATTCGAATTGGGTTTTGGACGACCCAGGAGCGTTTTAGCGCTTAAGAGTGAAAGTTGGCTATTTGAAGGTTTAAAGTTCTTCAAGTTTGGTTTGGAGTAGGTTTTGGAGTAATCATGGTCCGTTTGGAGTTCCGTGCCTGAGAATAGTTCAGTATGGTGATTTAAGACTTACACGCAAAATTTGGTGCCATTCCGAGTAGTTTAAGTATCTTTCGGCGCATTCGGAGTAAGTTTGAAAAACTTGAAATTTCCAAGTTGAATCAATTTGGTTTGGGGTATGATTCTTAGTTTTGATGTTTTTTACGCATTTTGAGGGTTCGAGCAAGTCCATTTTATGATTTCAAATTTATTGGTATATTCGGGCGGGGCCCTGGGGGCCTCGGGTGTTAATCAGACAAGGCTCGGACCAAGTTTTGGACTTAGGAGCAATGGCTGAAGCTTTCCAGCTTCTGGTGTAACCGCACCTGCGCATGGACAACCGCAAGTGCGAGCTCGCAGATGTGAGCAAGAAGCCGTAGAAGCGGTCCAGTGGGGGCAGCTCAGAAGCCGCAGGAGCGGAGCCATTGGGCACACCTGCGAGCGCGCAGGTGCGAGGGAGGAGCCGCAAAAACGACCTAGCCGCAGAAGCGGGCAAATGGTCCGTAGGTGCGGAATTTGGCCCAACTGGAGGAGACTGCATCTGCGAGGATTTTTTTGTAGATGCGGGACCATAGAAGCGGCCGTACCTCCGCAGGTGCGAAAATCACATAAGGCAGAACCTTCATTTAAGTCGGGGTTTGAGTATTTTTGACTCATTTGCTTCATTTTTGGGCCGATTTTGGAGCTTCTTGAGAAGGGTATTCACCTAGCAACTTGGAGTAAAGTTAATTCTACCTATTGTGAGTTAAATACTTAGATTATGGGTAGATTTTAACATGTAAATTAATGATAATTGTGGGTTTAGATGAAAAACCTAGGTTTTTATAAAAATGAGATTTTAACCACGAAAATGGTTATGGAATGGGATAAAAATTGTATATTTGAGTTCTTAAGGTTATGAGTGACGATTCCCTCCGAATATTTTCGGAATGCACGTGGGCTAGGGGTGAAGTTTAGAAATTTTACCAATTTGGGTTGGGTAATTACTCTAATAGATAAATTATGTAATTTTAAGTATTTATTGATTAAATTATATAACATTTGGCTAGTTTCGGATTTTTCGGCACCAATTGAGGCTTTAACGCAAAATTGTGACCGGGAAGTGATCTTTGAGATGAGGTAAGTCTCTTGTCTAATCTTGTAAGAGAGAATTTATCCCATAGGTGTTTTAAATAAATAATTATTCCTAATTGTGGGGGGTTACGTACGTATGAGGTGGTGAGAGTTTGTACGTAGCTACAATTATGCTATTTTTCGGGTAGTGTAGGACCCAATTCATGAACTATTTGGAATGTTTGCACCATACTTGATAGTTTAAAAATGCCTAAATTATATTGGTATTTGTTGGAGAAATTGTAAAAGTTCGCTAGTGAAATTCGTATTATTTTTGTATAAAACCTAAAAAATGTTTAAGTCAAATGCTTATAAAATATCCTTCTCTTCTTGTGGAGCGGGCCGAATGCCTCGACAGTAGATAGATTTATCTATGGTTCATGCCGCTCGACCCTCGGCAGTGTACACATTATTACGGATCGGGTCGTACAACCTCGACATAAATCATGCTTAATAATAACAATTACATGGTGTCTTGACATTATTATTGCAGCTTGTGAAGATAAATGACTTATTGGAAATTATTAAATTGGGAAGGAATTATTTATTCTTGCTTGTTAAGGAAATTTGTTATTATTCACATAAATCGTGTTTATTTAAATATTCTTATCTTAATATTATTGACCCATAGTAAGTGTCGAAGTCGACCTCTCGTCACTACTTCTTCGAGATTAGACTTGATACTTATTGGGTACACGTTGTTTACGTACGCATGCTTCACTTGCTACACCTTTTGGTGCAGGATCTGAGACAGGTGCATCAGGCGGTCCTACCAGCGCACATCCCAGATATCCTGAGGCTTAGTGGTGAGCTACTTTTTGAGACGTTCTGCAGCTCCTAGAGCCTCTCCTCTGTATTTGTATT